TCTCAATAAAAAATCTCCTCTTTATTTTCCTTTGCGTTCTTTGCAACCGCCTACATAATAGATCCATCTAGTTTTGCATATTCTCTTGCGATCTTGAAAGATTAACAAATAATAATTTTCATATTTTTTAAAAGTAAGTAGTTCAATTTACTTGTCTCTTTTTATTTTAAACAAAGTATTAAATCTTTTTTTTTACCATATTTAAGATTTCTTAATTATTTCTTTAAAAAAGATTTTTATAATTACTCCATTTTGAAAGACAACAAATCTCCCAACAAAAGTGTTAAAATTAAATAATGATACATATGAAATTATAATTAATAATAATTGTACTAATTATATATTTTATATTTATTGTATAAGTGTCTCGAGTAAAAATGTGACTAGTAAATTTATCCAATGATATAAAACTTGAAATCCTATGCTCGGAAGATTGATGGAAGCTATGGAGAGAGAGAGAGGATCATGATCTTCTAGAATGAAATATTTTCTTCTGCCAACGAAATACACGCACTTAATTTGAAGAAGTCAGATTATAATTTACATTAAAAAAATGAAAAAGAAGAGATGACGAACGGGAGAAAGGAAGACCAATGACAAATTAAACTCCGCGGCCCCAAGAAGATGACAATCAAACTCATGAGAAATTCGAGCAAAACTTTTTGACCTTGTGTCTATAACTTCTTTTTATAGATTTAGATTATGTTGGGTATAGTTGATGGAAAATTTTTTGAATTTCAAAAGTCTCAATTATACCAAATGTTATAATTTGTGAAAAATTTTATAATTTTTTATAAGTTAATATTTTATTTATTTCATTGCAACTCTCAAAAGTATTAAGTTGATGTTTTTACAGAAACTTCTCATTTGACTTTTAATAAAATTAGTATATTATTTTTATTTTTTTTAATTTACAAAAATAATACTTTTACAATAATTTTTTTAACAAAACTTTTATTAAAAATTTCAAGGACACTAAGTCTCTTATTAATCACTTCTACTTTCCTCTCCAATACACTTCCATTTTTCACTTTGCTTTAGTAATTTTTTTAACGAATAAGTTATCTTTAAATTAACTTGTGTATAACTTTAAAAAAATATTTTTAATTAAAAAATTAATTATTTTTATTAAAAATAAAAACTTTATAAAAAAATTACATTCTCTCTACCCTCTCCACTTTGTTTTGGTAAAAGCTCTATAATTTCATCCATGGTGCTCTCATCACTAACCTTAGGGGTGCTTTGCTTGGCAGTGAAATTAAATAAAATTTGATTAAAGAATCTTATCATAAACCTCGGCAGTGCTTTGCTGCAGTGAAATTAAATTAGATTTGACCGAAGAATCTAGAAACTCTAGGCAAGAAAGTCTTTCGTTCCTCTTCGGCACTTCCCGACATTTAGACAATAAAAATGATTGATGACACATTCGGGTGACGTAAGTATGAGAAAAATGATGTAGAAGTAAATGGAAACTTCTGCCGTATGGAATTTGGCAATTGAGTGGCCAATATAATTATTATTCTTTCTTTATTTGAAATCTTCTTTATCTTATTTTATTTGTCACACTACGAGATAATATTAATGATGATTAGTTTTAAGTTTTTCTAACCCCCAACCCAGAAACGTTGACGTTTTTTTTGTGAAAATGAGAAACTTTTATTTATTTTTAGTAGATTTAATATAATTTTTTAAATACAAATTTTAAATAAAAATTTAATATATTATATAAATGATTATTAAAAATTTTTTTTATAAGAAAAATGCTTGATAAGAATTTCATATAAAAAAAGACTTTTTTAATTATTATTCATATAAGTTGTTAAATTTTTATTTAAAATTTATGTTTAAAAAGTCAAATTAAGTGTACTAAAAATAAATGTAGGGAGTATGTGGCCTAAACACAATGTTTGCATTTAACTTAAAACTAATTAGTAATAGATAGAGCAGTTCTCTTTATATTTAAATTATATTTTTTTAACATTTTTTATATAAAAATTTTCCACTTAATAATTTTATTTCTGTAAATCATTCATGTTAATATTTTATATGAATGAAAATTTTAATTCAACAATTATTTTTAAAATATTAACTAAAATATGACATTTTTGAGAATGCCTTTCGAAGAAGTCCCATAAAAAAATTTTCTTAATGATAATTTTTTTTTATCAATAATACTTTGTTAAGTGATTTTCATTTTTATTAAAAAAATAATTACTATTTATATGGTATGAAGAAATATTATTTAAAACGAAAATATTATAATTAAAATGTCTCGTGATATTATAAATTTACAATATAATATATCATTATATAATTAATCTTTTCATTTAAAGGTCCACTTGTAATATTACATGCAATTACTTATTGAATGCATTGCCATACTCATTTAATATTATATCATAATTGTAAATTTATAATTTTATGTGATATTATAATTATAATATTATTATATCTAAAAATATGTGTAATGTCAAAATGTGGTAAATGAGACGAAGAAAATAGTTAGTAGAATGTTACTTAGGTCCCCTGTTTAGCTACAAGCCTGCAAAACATGGATCTTTAGATAAGAGGAGAAGAGTCCAATGTTATAGAGTTGTCTCTCAATCTAAAGGTTAATATCTTATAGTTCAATATGGTCCAACTTGTAAAAATGATTTTTCAATATTACTTTGACTTTTTACATTAATTTTATGTAAAATTTTCTCTCACTAATTAAAAATTTTAGGGGGGAGTTTCAAATTTTACTCGTATTAATCATTTTGCAAAAACACTTTGATAGGATGTCTCAACAAAAGAACTCGCGAAAGAATAATGTTATTAAGGAGTATTAATTTCTAAAACTAAATTTTAGAATTAGTTTATGATATTATTAATTATAAAGTTTATTATTTTGTAATTTAAATTGTACAATAAAAACTATTAAATAGAATAGGCATTTTTCTTTTTGAAAGATTTTTATTATGTAATCCAATATAATTTAAAGTGCACTATAATTTTTCATTTATTATAATACTATTAATAATATAGACTTTCTATTTTGTTTTCCTTTTAGAATTTAAGATCAATGGATATCAGCTAGTATTACAACAAAATTAAGTAGAAAAATATCTCAAAATAACATTATTTTAATAAAGCACCATTAATAAAGACTAAAACAACCTTAGTCCTTATTTAAAAAGGATAAAGATATGTGCACACCCGGGTCAACACCCGGGTGTGCACACTCCCCCATTGAAAAAAAAAAAAACCCAACCCCACCCGATCCCTTTTTTTTTTCTATGTGGGGGTGCACACCCGGGTCAACACCGGGTGTGCACCAATCAGCATCCATTTAAAAATTATGATAATTTAGTTTTTTTTTTTTGAACAGCTAAAAACATTTTGTTGATGATATAGAGTACAAGGGATATTCAAACCCACTAAGCACAATCCAATCCAAACAAAATAAAATCCATTACATTTAGCCCGTTGCTTTGGCACCCTTCTATTTACCATAAATAGTTTTTAGACATGCAACTGGATCAATAATCCAGTCTGAGAGATTAACAGTGTACCAATCTGTTCTTTCTTTAATCCAATAAAAAGATCTCATTTGGACAAATTCAAATAGTTTTTCGGGATTTACCTCTTTGTTGTGGAAGATTTCTTGGTTTCTATCAATCCACACGGACCAAATAACAGTTTTCCATATACAATTCATGCCTTCTCTGATGGCTGATCCTTTAGTGCCTGTCCAAAGAGTTGAAAAGTTTTCCAGCAATCCCTGTCCAACATTATATTGGTCCCCCACCATTTAGAGCAAGCCCGTTGCTTAAGTTTTTCGTTAAATTTTATTAAAATAACATTTTAAATTATTTTTATTTAATATTTTATAATATAAACTGATACTTATTTTTCTCTAAGACTTCATCTAAACCTATATAATTAATAATTAAAATAATTGGCTTAAAACTTGGTCGAGAATCATTACGTACTTCCCGCAGAGTAAACACTGTTGGCACCAATGTCTGAAAATTTAACATGCCATAACTACAATAAACGGTGTCCAGACCCGCTCCCCAAATTGCATCTCCTCAACTTTTCCAACAACTGCACGGTCCCTAATCGCCCTTTTTGCCTGAAGTTTTTAGGCCGAGAGGCCTTCATGTTCTTGGGACCAAAACGTCCTGCCCCTGTGAAATGTGTATGATCAAACTTATCCTCCCCATTCCATTAAGTGATTGTGCATGTGTGTGTGTGTGTGTTTTTGGGGGGGTTATTTGTGCGCTAAGGGAACAAATATAATTATTTTTATTGTATAATTAACTAACACATAAGAAATAAATAATTAAGGTTAAACCTCTATTTTGATCCTTCAACTATTGTACAAACCATCAATTTAATCCCTCAACTCAAGAAATCCCTAATTCAATCGCTATTGTTTACCATTTTGGCCCCAACTTGGTCTTTTTGTTAAAAATCCACCAACATGTCTAGTTAACTAACAAAAACATGGATATGTCAAAATATTAAGTCCACGTGGGAAGACATCATGGTAAAAAATAATGATATGGCAATTAAAACTTAAAAAATTCTCTTTTTGCATCCTCTCTCCCTTTCTCCTTCCTCTTCCTTGCCTTACTTTCTTCATCAATCAATTCTTCATTATCATAAAATAACAAAACTCTTTCCACCAAAAAAAAAAAAATCAAATAACAAAACCCACAAAAAAAATCATTTTTATTTTTTGTCACTGGGTTCAATCAAACCCAAGCAGGTTGGGTTTGAAAAAACTCAATAGCAACTACTGGGTTCGAAAAAACCTAGGCATGTTAAGTTTAATTGAACCCAACAAGCGCCGCTAAGTTCAATCAAACCCAGATCTACTGTTGGGGAAAAGAGAGAGAAAATGAAGCCTGTTGGGGAAGAAGATGAACAACCAAAGAGGCTGAAGATGAAAAGGAAGGGGGAATGAAAGGAGAAAGGAAAGAAATTGATGTGTGCTTGAAGAAGAGGGTAAAACTGTAATTTTAATTTTATAATTAGTTTGAAATATTTTAATTTTTAGTTGGAAATTAAGTGTCAAGGCTTTTTTTTCATACTATCAGTCTTACGTGTTAAAACATTTTTACATGTCATCTTTTTTTGTCAAGTAACGGGACATGTAGTAGAAAATTAAACAAAAGGACCAAGTTGGTGGTACTAAAATGATAAATAATAAGGATCAAATCATGGATTTTTTAAGTTGAGGGACTAAATCGAAGTCTGCACAATAGTTGAGAGACTAAAATGGGGGTTTAACCAATAATTAAATATTCTCTTTATCTATTTTTTTAAATTAAATTTAATTTTTTTTATTTTAGAATATAAATTTTAAATAAAAATTTAATATATTATATAAATAATAATTAAAAATTATTTTTGATCAAATAAAAATATTTAACAATAAGTACATATAAAGAAAAGAAATTTAATTATTGTTTATATAGGTTATTAAATTTTTATTTAAAATTTATATCTTAAAAATCAAAATAATAATCTAATTTTACTAAAAATGAATGGAGGGAGTAATTTCCTTTTACATTTATTTAATTATTTATGCAATTAAAATAATTCGCATAACAATAATTATGAAATTAAGATCAATTTTTGTATATTTTCAATAAATTAATGTTATAAATTAATATTAATGGTTGAATCTACTAATAAATAAATGTTAATGTTAGGTTGGGAGTTTAAATTTTAAGATCAATATTAAAAAAAATTAATTTTTTTAAATGCATAAGATTAATATAAGAGTGTGTTCTTAATATTGTCCAAAAAATAAATAATCCCAATATGCATAAAAATGGTCATGACTCTCGAGAGATACTTTGAAGGTAAATAAAAAAATATTAAAAAAACTTTTATTAATTTAATTTTGTACTGCTAGTAAGGGAGAAGAAACAAGAGATTGCAAAAGTGTATTAATTGCACTACTAACCTAATCTATGGCCTAAGGATATTGATTTGAAAAAGTAAAAACCCATAATTAAGTAGTTAAAGTTCTAAGTTTGAAAGTCTTGCCCAATTAGTTAATGAAATTCAATGAATCATTAATGTGTCAAGTTTATAATTTTTCCAACAGAAGTACAGAACTAACGAATAGGTAAAAAGTCAATCCCACTACAGAAACAAAAGGTTTTTATTCCACTACCCAGGACCAAAAATTAAAAATAAGGTTTCTGAGTCCACTATCTGAGTATTTCCAAGCCATCTGTGAGGGTTCGGACCCATCTGTTTCCATTATTTGTATATTGGAGTTGGATCCATAATTGTTTAAGGAATTTATAATGGTACTGTATGGAGAAATTCTCTATAAATTGTAACCAAAGTTTCTCGAGAACTTATTACCCCTTTGAGAAATACGTAGAAATGGCTTCAACAAAGGTGACCCGTCGTGGACGTCCCAGAGAGACTGGGACATTGAGGCGCAAGCGTAAGGTACATATATCTAACGTTTCTTCACTTATTACCCTAATTTGTTCATTTTTAGTTGTCACTTTTTTGTGTGACACAATAAAAAAGATTTTTTTTTAAAGGAAAGTTAAAAAACATAATTATTATCCATTTAAAATTGAAACAAAGCAATATTTTTGTGAAAAAAAAAAAAGTGTGCACTACAAAAAAAAAATTATCTTTTGCAACACCCTCTCTGCAACAACAGTTTGCACTAAAATATTATTTACAATATTTTCTATTATGTCGGGTTTGTGTTGGAAAAGAATGTTGAAATTAAGGGGTTTTTTTTAAGTGATGACGAGTAAATATTGACACCTATATTTAGTACGTATAACAACTAAAAATAAACATAAATCGTATATCTAACTAATTTTAGACGTATAACTTATTGACATTCAGTGATGGAAAAATTTACTCAAGTAGCTTTTAATAGTTGTTTAGGGGTCAACAACTATCAGCACCCCTTAAACACTAAAACAAACACTCCTTATTGACATAGTTTGTACTTTATGTAAAATTAAACAAGACTCTGAAGAGGATGGAAGCGAAAGTTGCGGCGATGAGGAGGGAGATGAATCGTGTAAGAATGGAAACAGCCGATGAGGTAGCTGCAATGGAGGAAATGAGAATGGAACTGGATCACCAGTTTGATGTCATGCTTCTTGTCTCGGCAGTAGACAGCCTTAGCAACATCATACTTCAGCTTTAGTCAGCTGAGGATATATCGAACTTGAAGAGCTGGTAGTTAAACCAGTTTACTTTGCTTAATTAATGCTGGTGTGTTATGTATTTTACTTATATATATCTAGCATGTGGGATAAGAAAAATAAGTTAGGGGTTTGCTCTTATAAATAACTTGTGTCATTTGGTCGGGTCTGTGAGTGTCAAAGCTCTTATAAGGTTAAGTTTGGACTTCCATGTGTACTATATAAATAAAATGAGTTTCTTTACAATATACTCATCAAGTTGGCATGGAATGCCTCAATCTACCATTATATGGTTTGTGTTGAAAAGACAATTTGAGTTGACGAGAGTAACAAGACAAGAACACACATAAGTAACAGCTCAATATGTAAAAATATCAAATTGAACTCAAAAAACTAATTAACATATTGAGTTCATTCATAGGTCTCTATATTTAAATCACTTACCATTTCCCAGATGTGGGATTCTTTCTCAACTCCATCACCCACTTACCGTGTAAACTAACTAAACAACTTGAATGTAATGGACGCATACATCAAGCTTTTTCCAAGCTTGAGTCAGAAACTATTCAAGTTGATTCTAATGGATACACGTGACAGGATATTGGCTTTGCTAAGCCGAAAGCATACCTTATGTCCAACTGTCCAAGCATATAGCACTGCAATGGGGCATTGATCTTCAACGGTGGCTAAATGTAGATGCAGATTATTGGAGTGTAGATAGTTCATTTGTTAATGACAACGCAGGAAAGCCTAGCGAATTCTGGGGCCCCACTATGGTTCTTGCTAAGCCCAAGAAAATAAAACTAAGCCCAAGAAAATAAAACCCGTCGTCTCATCCGGCTGAATCTTTGAAAAAGACAAATGACAACGCGGGAAAAAATGGTTTTTCGTCTTCCTAATTTGGGTTGAACAATCAGATTTGGGCAAGTTGGGCTTCACTCTAACTCTGATGGCATTTGAAATAAAATTGGATCCATCTATGAAATTCTGCTTTGAACCAGAAAAAAAAAAAAAAAGAGAAGTCAAATTGGATCCTATATATAATCATTAATCTTTGGGTTCTTAGGCCCAACATTTATCATTGGGCATTTGGGCTTAGGCTCAAGCTTTTAATTTTTATTTTCTTTTCCGTCTTTATTTGAGAGGGAATGGTCATCTGCCGGCTCAGTCGGGTTTTGGTTTTGTAAAATAAGAACCGGAATTGACCATCATATATAATGTCCTACTATCAGTCTAATCCTCGTTTCAATTCAGTTTTAAACCTAATTGCCTTGGTTGATTTTTGTTTGCATTGCATGATTTAACTAGCTAGCGATGACTTTGATTGGTTCCAGGACTGATTCTTGTCCAGTCCTTATCTGGTTACAGTCCCAATTCTACTTAATTAGTACTCTAGCTGATGACCAATCTGTAATACCTAAAATTGCAAACAATTAATGCCATTATTTGGTACTTGAACACGAGTTTAATGATTAATCAAGTTAATATCCAAGTTTGTCTCTCAAATTAAACCGACCTGGTAGCCACAACTAAAATCCTGGACAGAAAAAGAAATATTTTAATGAGGACTTGGGCACTTTATCCTTTGATACCCATATATTTCCTAGGATACCTAGCTGCGGCGCATATGAAGTATGTAGTTTTCAATGCATGTATCATGAACATTAAAAACAAAAAATATGGATATTATCGAGCTTCTTCTTTATCTCTCCTCCCTTTTTACTCCTTCTCCTTCAAGAAATATTTTGCTTTAAAGAGATCTTGTTATGGGTTTCTCTAGTGGGGAGAACCATAAAGAAATCGAGTCAAGGGGAAATGGATAAGTAAGATGAGAAAGAAAGAAAGAAAGGGAGGAAGAGGAAGAATTTCTACAAATTTTTTGAATCTTTATTAATTTAATTTTGCTATAAAAATAATAATTGGTATACTTTTAGATTTAATACATTTTTTACTATATTTATTAATAAGTTATTATTCTTAAATTTAAATTGAAAACAAAAAATAATTCAATTGTAAATTTTAATAGTTAAATTAATCAATATTAATAAGTGTGTTGAATTAAAAACTATACCAATCATCTTTCTTATTATAATTTATGGAATTTCTAGCTACAATTATTATATGTTAGATAAATATGTGTTGACAATAGCTATATAACGTTACACGAGTTGATACTTAACGTACTATGTAGACCATTGATTCAGAAAGATCTGTCTCGTAAAGTAATTACGCCGAAAGCAGAGTGTAACAAAGAGTATGTATTGCAGCCACTTCTCATATTAAGTATTTTTCTTCTTAGCATCAAATTAAAATCAAAATTATCCTCTTTACTTTCCTTGCCGTTCTTTGCAACCAAATAGATAATAAATCCATTTTCACTTGTCAAATTGTATTTTAAAAAAGGATTAAATTTTACTCTTTATGTTTTAAAATAACTATTACTTTTTAATTTTGAATTTATTTTAAATTAATTGTCATTTTTTCATTTTTTAAGATTAATAAATATTTTTTTATTTTAACTCTATCTTTATCCATTCATTTTAATTAATCATCCAATCATAGAAAATCTTTTTTTTTTCTTGTTTTCTATTTCTTTTACAAAGGTATTATAGATAAATGCAAATATTGTCTTCAAATTCTTAATTTTGAGAAAAAAAAATAGTATTTGATACGAATAAAATATTTTTTTAATCTTATAAGATCTGTTATACTCCCTTAAAAAAGGTCTTTATATATTTACTCCATTTTGAAAAACAACAAATTAATTCCTAAGCAAAAGTATCAAAATTAAATAATGATAAATATGAAATTATAATTAATAATGATTATATTAATTACTGATTTTTATATTTATTTTTTAAACGTGCAAAATAAAAATATAATTAATCCACTTGTGCAGAGGTCACTACAAAAAAATCAACAATTAGTGACTAAATTATTGATCATTAAATTTTTATTTTTCGTCACAAATTATTATTAGTGATAAAATTTAAATAGTTAGTAAAACCCTTATCACTAAGGCTCTTAGTGACAAATTAGGCACTTGTCACAGAAAATAACTTTATAGTGATAAAAAAAATTGACATTGTTAACAAGTTATTCATAACAATTTTATTCGGCACAAAAAAATATTCGTCACAAATACAATTATGATGCAAAATTTAATCATTAATTATTAAAATTGATATTAAATAAA